GTTTTTTTAGTATGAATGCAGGTGATCCAAAAAGTATGCTGTTGCAGTAATCCAGTCGGGATGTTATAAAGGCATGGATCAGAGTTTCAGCAGCGGTCGATGAGAGGGAGGGTCTAATGCGGGCGATGTTCTTTAAATGGAAGAATGCGTTTTTTGTGACCTGGTTGACGTGAGGGAGGAAAGTGAGGGTGGGGTTGAGGATGATGCCAAGGTTACGGATGTGAGTGGAGGGGTTGACAATGGGGCCATCGATGGTAAGAGAAAAATCTTGGGTTGAGCGGGTAAGTGAGTTTGGGCCAATGATTATAAATTCCGATTTGTCACAGTTAAGTTTTAGAAAGTTGTTTTGCATAGAAATTGTAATGTCAGTGAGGCAGGTGCTGAGCTGGGAGTGTGTGGTTGGAGAAATTGATTTTGTTGAGAGGTAGAGCTGTGTGTCATCAGCATAACAGTGAAACTGGAGTTGGTGTTGACGGAGGATTTGTCCAATTGGGAGGATGTAGATGATGAACAGAAGGGGACCAAGTACAGAACCCTGAGTGACACCATGATTGACGGGGGCTGTGGGGGATTTGGAGTTGTTAATGGAGGTGAATTGATGTCTGTCAGAGAGATAGGATTTAAACCAGGAGAGGGCAGTACCGGTAATGCCAATGGAAGACTGGAGGCGGTTGATGAGGATGGAATGGTTGATCGTGTCAAATGCGGCTGTTAGGTCAAGGAGAATGAGAATTGAGAGGGAACCAGAGTCAGCAGAGAGGAGAATGTCGTTGGTCACCTTGAGTAGGGCAGATTCTGTGCTGTGGCGAGTATTGCAGTCCAGATGGGATTTTAGTTGGGAGGCAACAGTTCGCTCCAGAATTTTTGACAGGAATGGGAGGTTAGAGATGGGCCGGTAGTTATTGAGGGAATCAGGGTTGAGACCAGGTTTTTTTAGTATGGGAGTGACTGGAAGGAGGAGGGTAGACAGGTTCCGGAAAAGGATGGGTGGTGGACGAGACGGAGGAGTTGGCTATGTTGCTGTGTATTATTTCAATTTTGCTTTGGAGGAATGAGAGGAAGGATTCACACTTTGAGGTGGTGAAGGAGTTGGAGATATTATCCATGGGGTTGAGGAGCTTGCTAATAGTTGAAAAAAGGGACTTTGGGTTAGTGCTGCCAGATTGTATTACAGAGGAGTAGTGAGACCAGTTCGTTTGGCATGTCTTTCGAGCTGGCGACCTTTTGTTTTGAGGCAACGGAGATGATCGGTGTACCAGGGGGCCGACCGAGTGAGTGAAAGAGACATACTAGGTTTTTATTGGAGCGAGTTGGTTGAGACAGGAGGAGAGAGCATTGAATAAGTGGAACACCTGTGTGGAGGGCCTCAGTAACTTGCTAAACTAAGGGGTTTGAACATTGTCAACACTGGTTAGAGAGCTCCCTCTTTTGGCTGTTTCAAGGAGTCTTTCATGAAGAAAAAAACATTCAGCAGGGATGTTAAGTGTAGTAACACATTTATTTACTTCTCCTACAATTGTTTTTATAGTATCTTCATCATGTGAAAATATTCAACAATTTGGACAGTACAGACATAACAGAGAGCATATTTTCTTTATGTTTAAAAGTCGCCCGAGAATTGTACAAAATGTAAACGAAAATAATGTGAAAATCTGTTATTCTGCCACAATCAGTAATTGTCAAGAGAGGGTAAAATATTTCATTCAATTCACTGCAGACAAGTTCCCATGAATAGTGTGTGTATCTGATTAATCATATACTGTACAGTGTATATAGACTTTAATATTTTGCTATTATATTAAAGGGGACCTCTCATGCAAAATTGACTTTTGTACCTCTTTTATACATGAATATGTGTCCCCGGTGTTCCAGGGAACTCACCAAGTGTCAGAAAACACAACCCTCTCTACTTTCCTCCATACCCAAATCTCTAAAGATTTCGAATTCTCGTTCGAAAGCGCTGGAGACGCTGTAGTACATATTTCAGGCCACCAGATGGTGCTGTTCTCACTGAATCCGAGCATGAAAGGCAGTGTTAAATTGAGCGAAATGAGGAATGGATAAAATGGATGATCTGTTTTGTATTTTGAAAAATAAAAAGTATAAATATGCCTTATATAGGTATGGTCCTACACTATATTATTCAAAAATAGCATGATAGGTCCACTTTAAAGAAGAAAAAAAATGTTCTGTAAATTAAATTTGAGGAAGGAAAGGAATGAAGAAATAAATATTTAAAGTAATGTTGCAACCATGAAAGTGCATTGATTATATGTCAAGGGAATGCAATGGAATGTAAACAGCTTTCAAGATTAATACAACTTAATTGAATTATGTGCAATTAGGTCTTAAATTAATTTTCAGTGCAACTTTAATTTGACAATATTTCTAAGCAAACATTAAGGCAAAAAGAGGTAGGCTATATAAAGGTATATTCATTTCTAGATTTCTTTTTTTTTCTTTTAGTCGTAAAACAAACATATTCATATTCTTGCAACAACAAATATTGATATAGACTGGAATGCCTTTACTGTTAATGGCTGTAATGGAAAATAACTATTTATGCCACAAACCATGTACAGAAAATTGATTTTGTGCATAGAATTAAATAATATTTCTCTCTGGTGACTTGATTCACTTGGTGTCCTTTAATAAAACTATGAACGGTCAACACATAAGAGGATCTTTGTAGATTTAGCATTGCACTCCTACAACATTGACAAATATATAGTATTTTTGAATGCCAACTATTCTTCTTCCTTCTCAAAACCAGTCGCCATCTTGACTAGATTCTGTTATGCTAGTAGCAGCTAAAATAGGTCGCTATAGCCTACAGTGACCAACAGATGCAAACGCGCTGCAACAGCCTATAACACTTCCATAAGGAGAAATGGGCTGCACTTTAAGTGATGCTTCGGTCCCAGCTGTGTGCATCACTTTGTAGTGTCCCTGTTTTCTCTTGTGATTTCAGCTTCTAGCAGCCTTTTGGATTTGCAGCATTTCTTTTATGCAGCTGTGTGTTTTTCATCAAGTTGGTGAAGATGTTCCTTCATTTGCAATCATTTTGGCAAAATTGTATTTTTTTATATTTGCAATATTTTTTAAACTGCAGCACATTTCTCCTTATGGAAATTCCTCCTAATTGCTATCAGTATCCAAAGGTTCACATGTTTCCTACCAACAATAAAATCAATCATAAACTGTATGGCCAAAAGAATGTTGACACCCATGTGTAATTGTCTAATATCCTATTTTAAAGCAAAGAACATTATTTGTTGCTAAAACAGCATTTACTCTGGTTTTAGGCTTTAGTGAGGTCCAACACTGATGTTCAGTAGTAATGTCTGACTCCTTTATTGGTCTATATGCATGGGGACATTTCTATCAACAGTAACCACAAAGTTGGAAGAATACTGTTGTTTGTTTTGCAATTTCCTTTCTATTAATCCAAACTTAGTCCAAACCATGAAAACCATAACTCAAAGTGCCCCAAAATGTGTGTATGTGTCCATATACCTTAGGTCATAGTATCCCACCTGTGGTTTAACCAATGTTTCTAAATTGACAACACATGACTTCATTAAAAATGATTAAAACGGTTGAACACCAAGAACCTGACTTAGTTGAAATACTTTTTGGATAATGGCAGCATGTTGCATTTCCTTTTTAACTCAAGTATGTCAGGCTGTGCTTTATCCAACAACATGGAAGTGGCACATCTTCTCGGTTATGATTGGCTGTTGCCCTCAGCTTGCACGGTGGTGTTTTTGGAGCCGCCGTTGCTCTGTGGGGACTGTAAGCGTTCCGGTAGCAGGACCTCTACGGTAAAGCTGATTCTTTTGGCCTGAAACATGCTGTAAGTGTTGTCAAATCTCAGAACATCTGCGGAAGAAAAAAGAGAACAGTACATTTACCTTACTCTCCTAAAACAGCACATTGTAAAGTTCTGAGCTCCGGTGAATGCAGGGTGTTGGGTTACTCACAGACTCCTGGGCGTTCACAGGTCAGTGATCCGTCTTCGGGCACTAGGTGAGCGTTGTATCGCTGGCTGAGCACCACTTCCTCCATCTGAGCTGCCTTCTTCTTTTCGCCCTTTTTAGCCTTCACAAACACCCCAAACCCAATGTCTGCACCTTCACTGGCAAACTGCCATCTATGGAGATGAGAAGAAAAAGGTTCTCCTTAACACTGCTTTGACTTTTTCTCAGACCTGATTCTATTACAATAATACAAAATACGTGCAGCTGACCTGAGAACGCAGCCCGGGAACAGTATCTCATAGTCCAGCTGCTGGGAGGAGCCTCGGCTGACCGAGGTACATTGTTCGTATTCCATCTTCACATGGTCCCGCACGTAGTAGGAGGGGGGGACAGGGCTCACGTGGTGTATCTGCAACGAGTGCATAAACAGTCGGATGTCAAAAACTTGATTATATGAAATGTAAAAAAACTGCGGGAAGGAGAAATGTAAAAAAATAGAAAGCCATCACTTACTTCGAGACATGTTCTGAATGCTTGTTATTTAAAATATTTTGCACCCAAAAAAATCCTCTTTTTTACTGTTTATTCACATAAATATCAAACTAATCAACTGGTCCCAGTAATACACTACACAGTGCAGTACTGGGAAGCACCCAACAGGGGGCAGATTATAGATGTCAGACACAGCTAAGTTATTATAAGGGAAGTCAAACTCCTTGCAAACAACCTCACAAAAAAGAAAAGATACAAAAACAAAAGCATTGTCATATAGTCCATTAGAGAGCAACACATTATTGGGCATCTACTGATTTTAAATTCTTTACAGTGCAGAGATTTCACTAAACCTCTACGAGGATAAGCGTGAAGAAAAACCTACCGTACAAGATGTATAAGGCTTGATGGTTGTTATAAAGAAGCAATATTATATGTGCTTCACATCACTGCAATTCAAAACAGACAGGATCCTCCTATGATATTAACAGATGATGTTTGCTATAAAAGCGACAATAATGAGTCCTGAATATGCAGAGAAATGCACACTGATGATGTGACTGATCAATGTTTCACTGAACTCTACCAAAAAGTTATCTTTACATCAAATTTCCAAACAAGTTGTACAATATAATTGTATTTATTCAGGCCCATAAATTATGCCCAACTCTTAAAGGAACAACTCATTATTTTGGAAATGTACTAAAATGTAAACTTAGCGCACCATTAAAGCTAGGAACAACGGTAAAAGAAATAACCTGGCTCCTAACATTGATTAATTGTGTTTGAGTGACATGTGGGACTATTTTAGCCAGGTGCTGTGGCCTCCTTGAATCACTAACAGTATAGCAGTTTCCCAACACTTCCATTCCTTTGTGCCAGGCTATAAGCTAGTTGTCTCTTGTCTTTAGCTTCATATTTACATATGGTTAACAGACATAAGTGTAAGCCCAATCTTCTAATCCAACTCTTGTTAACAAAGCATGAGAATGGGCGCATTTCCCAAATGCCACACTGTTCCTTTATTACGATAACTGGAGTTCCTACAACCAAACTAATATAATACAGTCAGTGAAACTCAAGACACAGGTAGCTAAAGGAGATTTTTTTTTTAAAAGGGTAGAAAAAAGAAAACACTTAGAGGCTGAGCATCTCAATTCCTTGAATCTTGAATGCAGCTGTAATGAATTTCTCTCTTCCTGTTCCTCATTTCTCCTCCGCCCAATTTTTTATCTACGGAAACGGTGACAAATGCACGGTCAGTTTTCTCGTCTAAAGCTTTGTCTATAAGCGCGACTACCCAAGCTGCTCTGCATGTGTCGCTCTATACTACATCCCTCGTGCTGAGGGCTGTTACCATCTCTACGCAGCGAGGCAGGGGTGCGGCGTGAAGTGGGAGTTATTACAATTAATTTGTCATCTGCAATTTCCTGTGCATGAAACTAATAGTTCAATGCAACTGGCAAAGTTGATTCATTCTGCCAGTCCAGTAATGTCCTGTATTGTCATTGACCTTCTGTGATCAAACTGGCTTATTCATGTGTAACAGGAGCCTCAGCACAGCCAGTGACGGCAGCGTTAACATTTTATAGAGAACGTCTGATCCACTGTGTTCAGTTTGGCCTGTTTGGAGCCTGAATGTGGCGTTGCATTACCAACACATTTCATATACATAGCAAGCATATCCCTGACTAAAACAAAGCTGTAAGCTGCCAAACTACATGAGCACATGATCCAAACATGTGAAAAGAAACAACAAGGCATGTGAAATGTTCAATATTATTTTTATGCAGGACATATCATGCTCATTTTCAGGTTCATATTTTTGTTTTGTGTGACATGTTTCCATTTCTCATACTGCCTGTGCTACAGCACCTCTTTTCACCCTCTGTCTGAAACCAGAGCCCAGTCCGCTCTGATTGGTTAGCTGGCCGGCTCTGTTGTGATTGGTCAACTGCTTAGCAAAGTGTAGGAAATGTCCTGGCCCTTAGCCTATCACGTGAAATGTGTAGGAGCGCTAGCCAATAGAAGCGTGTGTGTTACATAGTGATGTCAGTATGTTACAGGCTCTGATTCCCAGACTCACCATGGTGCGACAGCGAGGATCTCCATCAGGATCCGTCAGTTTACCGCCGTATATCACCGGCAGCTCCTCTGCATCAATGTACTTCATTAAAACCTCCTGCCAGTTAGCTGTAGGAACAACAATGGTCATTTCATCAGAAACAAGGGAGGTCAAAGTGTTTCGATTTGGTGCAATATTTTCTCAAATATGATGTTCTGTCTTACCCCCGAGGATATTGATCTTTTGTCTCGTGTTCTCACTCAGAAAATGCTTTACGAGGTTGTAAGCCACAGGAAAGAGTTTAGGAGCTGCAAGAGAACAAATGTAGTGTTAACTAAATGTTCACTAGTGATAAGATAAACTCTGGCTCCAGAAAAACAGGGTCAAATTATAAAAAAAAGAAGCTGAATAAAGAACCGCAGGTGGAATCAATTAATTATTAATCGATTAAAGGCCAAATGTACCTTTAATGACAAAAAGCCTTTTCAAGCCTTCTGGATAGTTGGCTTCAAACATCTGGAGGATCTGGTGACACAGAGAAACACATCATTTATTCATTAATGTTTGACGCACGGTACACTTCTAATATACGTTTTGTGAGCTTTACATCTACAGTGTAAGGGCATCTCTCCATACCTCTGTATATGTCTCTATAGCAGGCTTCCATAAGTGTTTCAGACCCAGACCTTCTACGTCGTAGATCATGGTGATTGACTCAACGTTCCTCCCAAGCTGGGGACAGAAAGACAGGGAAATTAAATTGGTGAAACCATACAATACATAGAAAACATTAAAAGTGTGATCAGTAGCACTGGTTCTCTGTCCTACGTCGGTGTTCTCAAACCTTCTGCGACTGGACGTCACATTCCTGCTGCAGGACCTCGCAGTCTCTGATCTTGGACTTGATGAAGTCTTGTTTGGATGCAGACAGGAAGAGGCCTTTAGGGTCCACAGGGCCGATGACATCATACCAGACGGGACTGCCCTCCCGGTCGTGACCACACATCCCTCCGGACAGATACTTCTCTATCACCTGCAAACAGCAGTCATTTAAGATGGTTCCATTAGTTGTGCACTGTAATGAAAGTAACAGCTGCCAGGCTGCTATTGGCTCTGGGTTGACAATAGGGCATCCAATATTTAACATTAAACAAATGGGAACAGCAAACATCAAAACTGATACTTAATTACTTCATTCATTATGTTTGTTGCATTATAGATATTTAAATATTGCTGTTATGTCAGGCCCAGACAACCCACATGTGCGGTGGTGAGTTTAATCACACAGGAGCATTTTTCAACTCATCAGGATAATTTATTATCTTTATTTGTAATCTATACACAAAACATATATTGCATGTCTGTCTGTCTTGGGAAAGAGATTCCTCCTACTATATGTTGCTCTGCCAGAGGTTTATTCCTCTAACCCTGTTAATTGTGGGGTGTCTTGGGAATGTTTCCTTGCATGTTGTAACAAGAGTTAAGCGTTTAAGGAAAGGTTTTGTATACTGTACACACTGTAAAGTCCCCCATGACAGATGTATCATTTGTGATATTGGGCTCGAGAAATAATCAATGATGGTAAAATACATTTGCTTTTCTGTGCGTTGAAAGTTCAACCACCTGTCAACAATCCCAAACAAAAGTGCAAAGAGATTCAACTGGCATTTGATAAAACCAGATAAACCTGAACAAAAACTTGGCAGGGTTAGGGTTAGGCAGGCAAAGTGTCCCAGCACCTTTTAGATGGACAGAAAACTATACTGTAAAGCCTGTACAACAGACACATGACGTTTAAACATGTCAAGTTTTTTTAAGTAATACGACGGAGTATCTTGGATACTCAAAAGTAAGTTGATTCAAACAAAATTCAGTTTTGTCAACCAAAGGCTGATGCCTGCTTGTAGGCTAGCAACACCATCGAAGAGTTAGCGTTGAGCCGTTATAAAATGGGGGTTTATAATGTTTAGGGTTTAGTTTTTACCTCTGGTGGACGCCAGTCGGTGATTATTGCATCTACTTTCATCTGTTTCCTGAACTCCAAATGCTGGAAGAAAAGACAGGTGCATATTAAGCTTAAGTACATTCAAGTGAGGTTGTTGTTTTGTTCCCTGATGACAGACTGCTTGTACAGTGGCAGATTGGCCTGAGCACAATGTGGTGATTTGAGTGGCTTAGGAGGTAACAGACGGCAAGTGAAACTAAAGCTGAACCGTCAGCAGGAAGGGGATCAGTAATGTAACGGTATACTGTACATGCCTAAAACCTCAAACACACCATCAAAGGGGACCAAAGATCATTTTGAATACGCTAATCATCTTATTATTTATACATACACATTTTGAATACTGGGGCAAGAAATTCAAAAAGATAACATGAACCAAGTGGTGAAGTTCTGATGGAGTGTTAGTTCAAAGATCAAAGCTACAGTTACACCCTTTTCGTCTGTAATCTCATAAAAAATGCCTGCAAGGCAAACGTATGCTGAGAGAAACCTCAGTTAACTGTAAAACTGGCTAACAATTAGCCTCATGCTAATGAAGAAAAGTGACAATGTTAAGTACTAGCCACTGCTTCTGTTAGCTTCCCTTATGTTAGCCTACAATGTGCTTTAGCTCATTGGTGGATAAGTGTTGTTAAAAAGTATTTCACTTGCAAAAGTACTTCCATCTCAAACATAGATATAAGTAAAGACCCCAAACATCAGTTGGTGCAGCTTTAGTAAGTGGCTGTAAATCCAACACAGGCCATTTCTCAATGTCGAGTAAACCTGCTGTAGGGCCACTATTTCAAGTATACTACGTCATCGAGTGGCGCTGAAGGACTGTTTAAATGCATGTTAAATGCCCAGCATTCGGCGCCACTCGATGACGTAGTATACTTGAAATAGTGGCTCAGCAGCAGGGTTATGGCTAGAAAGGATCCGTCTTGTGTAAAACTCTCGCGAGAGTTTGGCTGAATGTCACGTGGCTGAATATTTACGTTTGGCCACAGCAAATGATGGCGAGAAGCTAAACTATCATCTATTAATTAGTCAAATGACAGAAGTGGTGAGTGTTGCAATTAGGTGTGTAGCGGCTCTGCTGGTGTTAAAAGAGAATGACAACTGTAGATCACCAACACTAGGTTTATTTTTATCAAAGCAAGTCAACGTTGTCGCAGTAAACTCCAAGATAAGCTCCTGGTGCAATAAAATGTTCCCTTGCAGTCGTTTTACTATTATGTATGATGTTTNCAACAGTCGGCCGTTCACGGAAACAAACGATTATGACGGAGAAAGTATATCATGAAAGTTACGGTAACTTACCACATACGTTTTAAAATGCTTAATAAGCACCGTAACTTTCATGATATACTTTCTCCGTCATAATCGTTTGTTTCCGTGAACGGCCGACTGTTGTGAGACGGCAAATGCTGCGGCTGCAAGGCATTGCGGGGCAGCGTTCCTAAGCTAAATGGACTATTCGACTGCAACCCAAATATCTCTCAGAGGGGCGTGGGGAGTGGCTCCTTATTTTCATCTAAAGTAACGGACAGAGAATCAGGACTTTGGAAACAGGGCTGAAACAGAGGGGATTATAGGATGCTGCAATGATCTGTTTGGTGTTTCGAGCCAAACACTTCAGAGCCATGTTTGTATATATCTGAGTCCTATAATATATTCATGAAAAACAGTGTAATAGGGGACCTTTAACTCATCTTATCTCAGTTGTGTACTGTACTGTACACATTTAGGTCATGTGATGGCACCTGAGCTATCTTCAGTTTATGAAGACGACCCCGCAACAAGCAAGTAAGGGCACCTTAAATGAAGATGGTATGTCAAATGTTACGTTTTGTGTTGTATCTGTCAAATATAAATTCTTATGTCAATAATGTTAAAAGGTGAAGAGCATGGACGTCGCTGGATTCAGACTCACTTCCAGTCTCTGGATATGAAATACTGCAGCTCCAACAGCCGGTGCTCACAGTCCTCCACCATCTTCTCCGTGTACAGATGCTCCATCAGGCAAGACAGGATCCTACAAACACACACATTTAGAGAGCAAAGTGTTGATGTAAGACTCAGATTATTTGACATAATGTGTGTGTGCCCTGTTGTGTTTGTGTACGGGGCTCACATGGGGTCTCCGTTGTGGATGTGTTTGCAGGCGGTCTGGATTACGGACTCGCAGGCCTCGTTGAGCGCGCGGTCGATCCTGTAGTCAGCTCCGGGGTCAGCAGACTGGATCAATGTCTGCAGCTGCAGCGGAAAAGACAGTAGAAACACATTTAATATCATAATGGTTGCCATTAAATATCATATAATTTAATTTGCTGATTGAATTTCATGGATTTACTGTATTAATTAACAGACTGTCAAACCCCCACTGACACAATCTGCTGTTAATCATCTAGTATATGATCATTAACACTCCCTGATAAATGTGATAATTTATACCATTTTTTATTTATTTTTGCAACAGAAAACTATATGATTATTATTCATTTTTAACAAACTTTAGTTGGTAGGATATCTTCGATCTATCTCCTGTAAATGTCTTTTACACAATCATGTCTGAATATTCTTAATTAAGTATACAATGACCTCGTACAGCTGGTATCAAAACTGAATTTAATGTTAATAAATGAACTGAACTGGCAGTTTGCAGCTAAGCATGATACTTCAAATATCTCCAACACTTGAGCCTGTGAAGTGAAAGCTGGAAAACTGAATGATTTATGCGCAGTGGTTTTAAAATGTATTCAGGAGACAGTTTTGATATGAATTATTTAGAAGAAAAAGGCCCACTAAGCTGCATGAGAGCACACAGAAAACATCCTGCCTCTCTGCTGTTAGCATCCCTCTTACAGTGAGGCGTCACAGCAGCAGTAACTCACGGCGCTCTGGCAGACGCTGTCCACCGCCGTGCTGCGGTCCCCCCGGCCGATCCTCATCAGGCAGTGCAGCGTGCGGCCTTTGCGGTGCAGGCCGGAGCAGTGGGCCTCGATTTCTGTCCGGCAGTGCAGCACGATCTCCGGACTCAGGGAGAAATCCTCCATCAGCATCCGCCTGTAGTCCAGCATCTCGCCCTGACACTCGCCACTGACCGGACGCCCTGCGCGGAACCATATCAAACTAGTTACGCCGGGATGTACGTCACTTCAACATTTATTTATATTTGATAAGCATTGTAAAAAAGTTATTTACTTAAAAAATAAGTTTAGTTTAGTTCATTTTTTGGCTACATGCACCAACACTGACATATTATCATTTTATACATTTGGTATTTACACTTTCCTTTCTACGCATCCAGCAGACATCGAGCTAAGGCTGTGCAATATTTAAATAATATATTGATATTGTGATACAAGACTAGATATCGTCTTAGATTTTGGATATCGTAATATTATAAGTGGTGTCATTGTCTGATTATATATATAAGCTGCTTTACAGTAGGGTCATGTCATTTTCAGAATTGACCAGACTGTTCTGTCTTTGTCTTTACCCACTTATTTATTATATAATTGATGTTTATTTATCAAAATGTCTTGTGGAAGGTTTTGTGGAAGCTTCAATGTCACCTCCAGAATATCGTCACAATCTCAATAGAGAAAGTTGGTAAAAAAGGCTGGATGTTTGATTAAATGTTTATCGCCCAGCCCCATAACTGCAGTCATGCTGACGTTCCCCAGATTAAGGTCAAGTCTACTCTCCCTTTAGCTTCGTTTTGGTCTCCATCAACTTCAGAAAAAAAGTCTTAATTTGACTTTACGTTTCCCAAGCTTTTGTGCTGTAAATACACAAGGTTTGTCAAGACCCTGATGTGTTCTCCCCCCCCTCACCTCGGTGCACAGCAGCCTCCAGGCACAGCAGCAGGTAGGAGAGCCGGGCCTCACGGGCCCGCGGCAGGTTGTTGTCCAGGCTGCAGCGCTGCTTCCTCAGGTCCGCCTTGCAGGCTTTAGCCAGAGAGTAGCTGACTCTGTAGTCCTGAGAGATGAGCTTCTGACGTGTCGTCAGAGCGTCACGGCACTGACAAGGAACAGGGGAGTGTTAGTGACTTAAAACAAGTTCTCTATCATCCAAAAACACAAGTTAAGTTATGAGTTATTAAGTGAGTTATTTCCTCTAAATATACCTTTTCTGACATGGCCTCCTCAAACTTATGATTGAACAGACACTTGTAGACTTTCCCTTCTCCTGCCTGAGTCTGTGGAGAGGAAAGACAAAAGATAAATGAGAAATTAGTTAGCAATGATCAAATTTGAGAATTATAATAGAGTTTTCAATCCCACATTGTATTTGTGCTTCCGACTGGGACTACAAATCAGTCCGGGACTCTCGACCGGCCCACTTCGGTACCGCTGGCCCACCGCAAGTAAATACCGCTAGTAAATTGTCGACTAATAATGAAGAAAATTAACACATTTGTTGAAATAGTAATTTATGCACTAACTACATTACTACTTGTAGCCTAGTACAACATTTGAATCATCAGTTATTCCTCATTTTCCTCAATTGTTCATATTTGGTTTATTAAAATAATGATATTGTGGTCATTGTTAAAAAATGAATATGAATATTATTATAATGCACTTTCTGCCTTCCTGTCATTAGGAGTTAGACATGTAATGGCTATGTAATTGATTTGATTAGAACCTTCATTATTCTAAACAGCTGGGACATTTCGCCAATACCTTTATATTGTCTACTCTTCACTTACTTGTCAGCATAGGTCGGCATTGATGTACAGAGCCGACAGAAGACCTTTATATTGGCATCATATTGAGAGGTGCAGCCAGTGACGCGTCCTAAAACCAGGAAGAAAGCCGCTGGTTTCCTCGACAAAAAGCAATGGGATTTCTCCAAAGGGTTTTTAGAACATACGTAGCTGGAAATAAGGTCTGTGGAAAACAAACATGTTTGATAAATGCACGTTTTGTTCAGCCGGATAATCTCCACATGTCTACTCTACTTTTATAATTTTCAAATCATAAATCTAATCGATAGATTATAAAAGGGTTTTAGGACGCGTCACTGCACCACGAGAAGCCAACTCCATCGATCAAGCTGCCTAAAACTTTCTCTCCCTCTTCTTCTCCTCATGCTCCCTGTCACTC